GTAATGATAACTGCTAATGATTCGCTTGAGGGCAATTTCCGTAGGGCAAGAACAATAGCCAATAATTCTGCAATGAATAAGGGGTATACAGGGCTATAAAATCTGGGAGTCGAATCGAAAAGGACCAGTTCAAAGAAGGAGAGAAGATGCCAACCCCAGCCTTTTCTTTTGACACAGATGCATCAGTCACAATGATATTGCTTATCTCTAGGCGAGCTAGATAATCTGCTAACTGGTCATTTAAGTACCTATGTGCAAATTGTTTTGCGTTATGAGGAAATATATCATCAAATTGTATGCTAAGCATTGAATTTAGGTAGTGTATTGGACCAATATGTTTAATTTTTACATTCAGTTGCTGTAGTAGCGCATGTGCAAATATTATTTGCGGGTTGTGTAGTCGCGACCAATGTGTTTGAAAAAATAAAACCGGTTCTTGAATGAAAGTGCAAAATGAGAGTCTTTGATGTGAACTGTATATCTTTAAGAATGCTTGCACAGTAAGAATTTTAAACCTATTTAGCAGAGAAGGTCGGCGAGCTTCCATATACAACACATTATTTGCAACAAATTTTGGTAGACCCAAACACAAACGCAACGCTTCTCTTTCCAGCAGTATTAGGGGTCTCATTTTATAAGCTGCACTGCCAGAAAATGATACACATCCGAATTCCATGATGGGCCGCACATAAAGTTTATATATCATTAGTAGCACATCTCTTCTTAAACCCGCTTTACTGTTTGCGAGCTTCCATAGCCACCACATGGCCCGTGTTGCCTTGAAGTACACATCATCAATGTGGCTTCTCCAATTTAATGTGTCATTATATAGGATGCCCAAATACTTCAGAGAATTTGCCTGCAGAATTAGCTCATTACTGTATATTAACGAGATGTTGATAGGCTACAGAAAATAGAATGCAAGAAGCGCGCTTTTCTTTACGTTCAGGGTAATATGAATATTTTTGAGCCATCTTTCTATCATATTGAGATAATTTTGTAGACTCTAGTATAGGGATTGAAGGTCGGTATTACCTGCAAAGAAAGCAATATCGTCCGCGTACACATATAACTGAATATCCTTAGTTGATAGAATGGAGCTTAAGAAGATGTTAAATAAAACTGGCGACAGGACAGCCCCCTGTGGTACGCCACGTGTCTGCTTATATCTATTCAACGAGTACCCATCCTTAAAGCAGTAATATTCTCTCCCTCTTAAAAACTCCAACAACCACGCAGTGTTGTAGTTGGGAAAGTGGTGATATTCCATCTGTTTTAATAAAATTGAATGCTCACCCCTATTGTATGCTTTAGCCAAATCTAGAGTAACTAATGCACAGTATTGGCCCCGACGCCGAGCCAGTTGTATTCGGCTCTCTAAATCAACATGCGCACACCATATTGAGCAACCAGATCTAAAACCAATTTGACTGGGGTTTAATATTGCATTATTATCAATATATTTCATTACCAGGGAATTCAAAACTTTTTCAATTATCTTAACCAGATTTGACGTGAGTGATATCGGCCTTACATTGTCTTAGGCAAATCCTTTTTCCTGCTTTTTAAGGACGTGAAATCACTTTAGACAGCTTCCATTCCGCAGGTATCCAAGCTTTTGTCAAAGAAAAATTTACCAGACTAAGTACTTCAGTTGCAGAAATCTCGAATATTACTTTTATCATTGCATTTATCATCCAGGTGCTGAAGGAGATAAGTGCTTTATTATCTCTGCCAACTCATCTTAAGTAACCTCCTCGAAGTCCTCGCCCCCCATTGGGTTCCCAATGTGCAGTGGTATAGTTGACATAAATCTATTTTGGAGCCCTTTCTCAATATTTTCTACTAAATCAGAGAGTTCAGGTGGGGGGGGGGGGGGGGAGAACGGAAGAGTCAATATTTTCAGCGGCCGGTAACATCTTTTACGATCCTAAAAATTTGAAGAGCGCTTTTTTGTTTTTAGCCCTAGAAAGATAATCATATCGTTTTGTGTTATAGCCGTCTTTTGTACTTACTGTGCGTTTGAAGTCTGCTGCTGTGTATTTGTAATCACACCAATTTTTTGGACATTGGTTGACCAGCAGTTGTTTCCATGCAGCTTTCCGTTTTCTATAGCTCCTGATGCACTCTTCAGTCCACCATGGACAAAAAGAACCTCTTGTGGCAGAGTTTAAATTAAAAGTTGCGTCTTTTACTGATCTTTTTAACACTGCACACAGACTCATAGCCCTAATGCCACCTTGCATGTCCCTGCGGCAATCAAAAGTAGCCCTCAAGTCTTTTTCTAATTTTCTATAGTTGAGGAATGAGCCGGCCTTTTCGGCGACAAGTATTCTCGGAAACTTGAGTACAAAACTAATAGGCAAGTGGTCACTGTTAGTAGCACAATCTAAAGTTTGCCATGAACATATGTTAAGAGATGAGCTTGAAAATATCAAGTCAATTACAGATTTAGAGAGACCTCGGACAAAAGTAGCAGACTGCGAATTTAAACAAGATAAATTCTTGTCAATAGCCCATTCTTACAAGCGTTTTTCACTTAAATCTGTTTTGAAACCCCAAGCCACAAGATGTGAAGTGAAGTCTCCAGTGATTAATATATCCTTTCTGCAGGCAGAGAACATATCGTCTAGACTTCGTGTGTCTTGCACCCCGGCTGGGAAATATGCATTTACAAACGAGAAGGGAAAACCATCGGGTAATATTATGTCTACTATCAAAATTTCACAATTGGGAGTTACACACCGATAAGAGATCTTAGCTTTGCGACTAAACTTAGTTGCTATCAAGACAGCAAGTCCACCACCTCTGCTAGGTCGGTCCAGTCGAAATAGCCAATAGTTTTTAGGTAAAACTTCTGGCCGGTTGAAAGCCAGGTTTCTTGCAGTGATATAATATCTGGGAAAAGTTGTGAAGAAAGCTATTATAGGTCTGTGGCTGCGGAAAATATAGATCTGCAATTCCACTGTAATATGGTTAGTGAACCTATTTTGATGACAGAACCATAGCAGAAACTGCTTGGTCCAAAATGTCCTATCGCAAAAAGTCTTTTTTAGACTTATTCACACAAAAAAATTTTTTTTGGAGATACTTTTTAGATTTCGGATTATGCTAAGAATTTTTTGATGGGGAGATCGGGTTCGCTTCAGAGCCTTATGAGAGTCCGTATCTATATCTGCAAATGCTTCCCAATCATCCGTTAGATCACCCTCTTTCGTTGTTTTGGAAGTCCCTGCCTCAGGAGAAACCGATCGCTGACGTGTTGTCGCACTGTCTATCTCCATACGCTGCGATACCACTGATGCCCGAGGATCCCAATCGTTCGTATATGCTTCACCTAGAATTTGAGATAGTTGATTCGAAACCAATTGTGCCAAGCTTTCGAAAAGGTTGTTTGCGAGGCGTTCCATAGCCTTTTCCGTAGCCTTCTGTACGGCCTCTGCGATAGATGTTGCGAGAGATGCATCCATGGCGGTGGTATTACGTGCTGTAACACCTGCATATCCTTTAGATCTCTCCTGCATTTCTGCAATGGCTTCCCTCCGAGAGCACCGCTTGCGTTCTACAATATCCAATATGGCAAGCTCGTTTTCTTTAGCTGCACAGTCTGAGGAGTCTGCAGGGTGCGCCCCATTACATAAGCAGCACAGCTCTTTCTCAGAGCTGCACTTGCGGCTGTCATGATTTTCACCACACCGACGGCATCTAAGAACTGATCGGCACCCTCTGACGCTATGTCAATATCATTTCAAACACAGGGGTTTGGGTAAAGTGGCTCTACCTTATAGATCAGTGGCCATGCCTTAATTTCGAAAGGTCGGACTGTTCCTAAAAAGGTCACTATCACCGATTCCGTTGGGGATTTTATGTTGTCAATTGTACGGGTGCACCTGTACACTGAAATTACACCCGCCACCGAAAACGAATCGAACACTTCCGCAGGTGTCAGGCTTGTGTCCACACCGCGGACTAATCCTTTCGAGCATGCGAGGTGTGCCGGAATAAATGGGCTTACCGGATGCGCTGCGAATTCGGAACATTGCAGGAGTTTACGAATCCATTCCTGATCTGCGGAACAGCACAGGATGCCTCCGCGACCGAACTGGCGAACCTCAGTGATCTCCTGGAAATGCGAAGTGGCTTTTCGAAGCTCCACTTGAATCTTCATCGGAATACTGCCCCCATCTGTAGGTACCAGAGCTACAGGTACACTGCTCGCCCCACTGCATAACAAATAGTCAATCGGCCAATCCTTGGCGGGATTGGAAGCTAACCAAGGGGAGTGCCCTAGGCCAGGCAAAGAAAATGACATCAATATCGAATGACTCGCTTCAGCTGAGAAGTACCGATATAGTTACCAAAAAATAACGAACTCTCAGAGAGCAATAAGGATACTGCCACCCGATCCTGAGCCCGGACAGCTTCTACACAGTCGAGCTTCACAGTACAGGTACAGAAGGTGCACAGCGACAACGACGGCTTTGTCCAAGAGAAAGGCTTCTTCCTTCCAGCGAAGCTGTATGTCCAAGCTGACTCCACAATCACCTTTACCGCTGCACATTTTAAATAATACCAAATAATACTAAAAAAACATGACGTCATGTAAGATAGTAACGCCGATAGGCTTGCTGACCGTAAAAGCTAAATACATAAAAATAACAAAACTTCATCAATAAAAAAATATTTGATGCAATATTTAGCACAAATAACTAGTATATACAGCATTTTATTTCATTTATTTCTGTAACTACGCAATGAAGTTGTATTCAATTGCTTGCTTCATTATGTTACTAGATCCACTTCATGCACATCAAAATGAACCATTTTTCCCCTTTTAATAAAAGCAGCAATATTTTGTGTTTTTAGACTTGTCAGTAATATAACATTTTTAATAACATTAATTGTGAAGAGACATTTGTGGTCAGAAGCACCGCGACATCGACTGAAATATTAGGTGGCGCTCCAGTCGCCACCTCGCCGTAATTTCGCCGTAATTTGAACTGAACGAGCGCGTGTGGATGTTGGCTAAAGCGACTGGCTGCGCGAAATTGTATTGTTATGCTGGCTCGTGAGGTGCTGTACTAATTGACGATGCTGACGACGTTATTCTGCTATGCTCGCTTGTGAGGCACTGTAGTATTTAGTGGTGTTGCGGACATTTGTGCGTGGCTGTTGGGTGCCGTAACGGCCATAGTCTACTGTGCGCACAATGGAAGACGGCGACTGGGAGCTATCCAAGGAAAACATACAGCCGTTGAAACAGGGCCGTGTCATGTCGTCGCTTCAGGCAGCGCTCGCCCCGCAATGCCAGGAAGACCTCAAGCAGAAACAGCGGGAGTTCGAAGAAGAGCTTCGCACCTCGTCCGGTGTCGCCCTTTTGGACGTATACCACCGGTATGTGTTGTGGCTGGAGCAGCACCACGTTACGACTAGTGTCAACATGCCCCAGCTGCTTGAGCAGGCCATTGTGCAGTTCAAGACAAACACTGAACTGTTCAACGACGTACGCTACGTCGGCATTTGGATACGCTATGCTATGATGTCACCAGAGCCCCTCGCAACGTTCAAAGCCATGTTTGAGACTGGTATTGGCGATCAGCATGCTGAATTCTACGCCACTTGGGCACAGCAGCTCGAAGCATCTGGCGATAGTTGTGGTGCATCACGCGTTCTCCAGGGAGGCATCCGTCGGCGAGCTGCGCCCACCAGCCGGCTCGAAGCGGCTCTGAGGCACCTGGAGGCACGTGTCAGTCGCCAGGTCGCTCTCGACGTGCAGCAGCAGTGCCAGGAAGCGGCGTTAGTTGGTGGCCCAAGACGGGATGCGCGATCTGTTCTGGCTCCACTGCGTCCACAGAAGCAGGGCACCGCCCCTGTGACGCGGTCGGCACCTGTCACCAGGCCAGCCGAGCAGCAGCAGCGTGGCCTGGCAATAGTGACAGCCGGCTCAGCGGCAGGCAACCGAGGCCACACGAAGGTACGCGTGCAGGCCGACGAGAACGCTCTACAAGATGGCGATGCCCTGCTCATTCAACCCGTGGCTGCACCACCCTTTGTGGCCGCCGCCCAGCTGACCAAGGAGAATAGCCGTACAGCTGGAAAGTGGTCTGGAGTTACGGCGAAGCAGCGGCTTCCGTCAGCGTCTCCGCGGCCGGGGTTCGAGGTTCTGGAAGAAGAAGACAGCCAGCCTCCTTCTTGCACGCCTACCCTGGTCCCTGGCAGTCGGCAAGTTCTCAGCGAGCGCAAGAAGTCTGCAGAAGCGTACGATGGTTTCAGCTGGGACCGGTGGGTGGTCCCGCTTTGTCGTCCCGACCCTGAAGGTCTGCCGGTGCGGCCAATGTATGACAAGGCGAGTGTGTACAGGGGCACCACAGAGTTCCAGTTCGAGGAGATCCGCATGGCCCATATTCGGGCACAGCAACGGCAGATGGACTTGGAACAGCAACTGGAGGCAGAGCGAAATCGACGCGCGCAGCTGGAGTTAGAGAGTCTGCAGAGAGAGCAGCGCGAACGGGAAGAGGTGAAGGCGCTTAAGCGGGAGGTGCTGCAAATGCGTAAGGAGCTGCAGCTGTTGCACCGCCAGCTGGCCAAGAACAGGAGTGGCAGTAGGGACCACGCTGTGGTGACTAGCCAGATTGTGCGTTTGGAACAGAGTATCCTGGCTGCTGAGCAGTCCATCCTTGTCCAGCCTGTATCAAACAGCAGCATAGAGGAGGGAGCCTGTGGACAACCTGACGAAGTGGACATGCCGCCTGACACACCGAGTGCTCACCAGGCGAGCGGGGCTGCAAGTGCCGAAAGCACCCAGAGTGGTGGAAGCTTGCGCACAGTTGATGTGTCCAAAGTTGTACGCAGCCTCTGGAACTGCACTTTGGGCCAGTCACACCTGAGCCAGCAAGATTGCACGCTGCAGGCTCCTTCAAAACACACGGTATTAGATGAAGTGCGAACTGAGTCTGCCATTGAAGACTCTGCTGTCGTGGTGGGTGTTCCAGCAGCACCTTTTGAGGTGTTCTCTGAGCCCACCGAGACAGGAGTGCTTGCCTGTGGTGCACCTCTGCCACCAAACGATGATGCTCCTGAAGAGGGTGACAACGATGAGAACCGGCTGCCAGCAGATTGTAGCCCGCCAGAGGTTTCTGTGAAGATGAAGTCACTTCAGCACAGGGTGCCCTTCGCCGAACTGCCCATGGATGAGGATGAAGCTTCAGAGGATGAGGAAGATGACATTGGAGTTGGACCCATTGATGATGATAACTTCACCTATGCACCATCCAAAAGTTTCGTCCTCAAGGTGACCTCGACACCCTGCGCAACTGACCGCACAGTGCCCAAGGTGGGTGAGGACTTCACGGTGGGTGGTTTGACTGCCCTTGTCCAGGATGTTGCCATCAGCGATCCGTCAGCCTTTTCTGCTGCACAGATACCCCCCGTAGAGCCGCTTGCCGAGCCACCTCAACAAGTTGAGCAGCAGCAGCCCAGCCATCCTGGTGTGCCACTTCCTCCTGGTACAGACACTGCTGCACCTCTTGCCACTCGCCGATTCTCCGTTGCAGCTGCTGTGGACTTGAGCACTATCTACGAGTGCAGCAAAGAAGGCAAATCAAGCAGCAACAGTGGAGGCAGCACCTGTTCAAGCAGCTCCTCGTCTCACCATTTGGCGGCTGGGTCCACACTGAGTACTACAGCCCGACCCCCCACAGGTGGCACCCTGCCTGCTGTCCAGGAGGAACCCGACAACGATGGTGGTGTCTCCTTGGTGGCAGCAGCCATGCCAGAGCAGTCCCAGGAACAGGGCGAAGAGACGGAGCAAGCAGTAAGTGCTGTGGCCTGTGAAGACCCATTCTCAGAGGAGATGCGAAGCATTATCTTGGCATCGTGGCAGCCGCAGAAGAGCGACCAACGAAAGCTGTTGGAGTCCCCTGCAAAGCGTCCAGTTCTCAAGGGGGATGCGCAGATCACTCTGGGGGACCACGAAGTGAAGGTGCTTCGCCACGTGGCATCAGGTGCTTATGCACGAGTGTATCTGGCCCAGATGGTGAAATCTGAAGAGACCTACTTGGATGATGATGAAAGCTTTGAAGCACCTTCTCAGGTGAAGGTTGTGCTGAAAGTAGACGACAACAATGGAAATGCCTGCTGGGAGTCCTACATATGCTGCGAACTGCACCGGCGCCTCAGCGAAACCTCTGGAGCATTTACAAAGTGTGTGGTAGACCTGCAGCTGGCCTGCTTCTTTAGCAATGGTGCCATCTCGGTGTTCCCCTACAGCCCCCATGGCACTCTATTGGATCTGGTGACCCAGTTCGAAAAGCATTGTCGCAGCTCCGTACCCGAGTGCTTGGTGCTCTACTTTGCCCTCGAGTTCATCACCATCCTGCAACAAGTGCACTTGTGTGGCATCATCCACGCAGACATAAAGCCTGACAACGTCCTCATCATAGACCTTCCGAGCAAGGCAGGCTTCCTGGACAGCTTTTCCGAGCAGGGCCCCAGCTGCCTGCAGTTGATTGACTTTGGGCGTGCGATCGACATGAGCCAGTTGCCGCCTGGCACGGCATTCTCCTATGTGGTCACCACAGAAGGGTTCGTCTGCACCGAGATGCGCGACAATCGCCAGTGGACATTTCAGACTGACTGGTTCGGCCTGTTGGGTTGCCTGCACGTGCTCCTCTTTGGGCACTACATGGAAATCGAGAAGAGGTCCGACGGCACCTGGGGTATCCGAAACAAGTTCAAGAGGTACTGGCAGCAGGATCTGTGGAACAGACTCTTTTCGACCCTCCTGAACATTCCCAGCTGCTCGGAGCTGCCCGACCTGATGCCTTTTGTGCTGGAGATCCAGAGCCTGCTGCGCAACAAGTCACGTGCTCACAGTGTCGTCGTGGAAGCCCTGCGTGCCAAGAACTTTTAATTTTTTTTTACTCTTAATTTTTAATTGGCTCTACATATTTTAGAACAACCTCACCCCAAAGAGACTCTTCAAGTTGCGAAGAGTTGTAGTGGCTGTAATGTGTGGTATTTTTAAGTGTAAAAGAAAAGTTTTTTTTAAATACAAGATTTTAACTTTGGTTCAACAGTTGACAGAGTTTATTGGCAGGTGGTGGGATGATTATGTAGTGACAGTGTGGGTTTTTCTTTTAAGTGTAGGCTAACAATGAAGTGCTGTGTTACCTTTTGGCTTAGCGCGTAGGTAGTGTACTGGGTTTTCTTATCCGACGTGGCTGTTTTGGAACACGTGGGCCCCAGTAAACTGGTGTAGCCATGGTCAAAATGACCGCAAGGTGTTCAGTGTGTTGCGTAGGTTTGAAGATGGAGGTTTGTTTGAGTGACAAGGCAGACGAAGCTTATGCCAAGTGCAGATAACGGGAGGCAGAGGCAAAAATGAAAATTCTGGCTACCCAGACTGAACTTGCGATGAAAGTCTCAGAGCTTGACAATGCTGTGGTAACGGGGCGAAACAATAGATGAGCTATGAGAGAAAGTTAAAACAATTAAGGAAAGCCTGTCGAAGGTCGTTGATAAGTATAAAGAGACAGCTGAAACTATAGAACGTTGAGCCCCAGTCGTGCGAGAGGTAAAAGGGGCCGTGGTAAAAGCAGGTAAATGATCGCAGGGCCCAGAATTTGGGATGTAGTTTTGAGAGAGGCAGGGTACGAAGCAGCGGCCATGACCTGCACTGGTCACAAAGTTAACCAGCTGCAGTTTTACTTCAGCAGCAAAGCCTGTGTACATTGTTTTCATTGGCAGATCCAGCCACTCATTTTAGAGGGATGGGGCGGTCGCTTGAATTAACACCACAAAAGGGGGCCGTGGTCATTACTTTTTGTTTTTACTGGCACAAAAGCCCTGTAATGGCCTTGTAAATACTGTTATTGTGTGCTCACAGTGGTCCCACTCGTTCCTAACTGGTGATTACAAGTGGATGGCAAGCACTGAAGGAAGGGGGTGTTGAGAGGCTTTGAGGGAGGGGGCAATCGCCCCCCCCCCCCCTGGATTCACCACTGATTGTTTTTGCTCGTTACTGTAAATTCAGGGGTGGTACCATTTTTTTCTAGGGCAGCACCGAAGACAATTTTGTTCCTTGACGAGGGCAGGGAAGCACAGAAGTTGTGCGTTGTGTTAAATGGGAAGCATTTTATTGCCTACTGCAAGCACTTTTGGCATCTATCTGCGTATCTATTTAGCCGACTACGTTTGGGTGCTCTCATGACCACCCCCTTAACTTGGCGTGAACCAAATTAGTATGAAAGGGTAAAATGGCTTGATGAATATGACCCACTGGTTGTGACAGGATTGTCACCATCTCGTGACCAAATGCCATGTACGGGGTCAAACACTTTCCCCCAGACAGTGGCACATACCTGCTGGCGGGTATGTGCCACTGGTATGCAGTTATGCGCCACAGGTGATTGACAGTTTCTATGTACCCAGTAATGGTGACAACTGTCATTGATACTGTAAATGCGAGTGCGCTAAGAAAAATGTGAGATCAGCAGCCTTGAACCAATAAACATCAGGATCCCAGCAAACTCAAGCATTCTGCGGGGCAATCAAGTATTGTACCATGAAGCTACATCATGTCTTGGTGCTGCATTCGAAAAATACGCTGTTCAGGTTCAATGTTGGTGTCAATTGTAGTTGCAATATAGTGCCCACTTACATTGCACATTTACCCAATGTAGAGATTTTAAAACTGCCTTTGTCTAAACTGTAGCCTATGTCTCGTAAAACGTTTTACTTTGCTAGTTGATGCATAGTTAAATACAGGTGGGATGCTGGCTGTTCATATTTATAAACATTACATATGTACTCTTCTGATACAGTCATGTCATCAAGTTAACGTCAGTTGTAGTTAAGTGCCATCCACTGAAGTTAATTTATGTACCAGCTCGAAAGCACCAGCGTTACATATCAGCGTTAAGCTTCTCAGCAACACGAGTTCTGATACTCATGTTGCTGTTGGCATCGTTGCGCATGTGTAAACAAGTGGTTATATAAAACGTGTGAATGTTTCAACATATGTCAATGCATACATTTTTACATACATTTACCATCATTTCTTAACAGGTCACCCAATAAATAAGGTTACAACGCGGTCACCTTCGCTCCGCAAGCTTTGCATGGCATGCATTCTCATGATACGTGTGATCTGCTGAACTTTTTTTTTACTATGCTTGCTCTTGGGGAAGATAAAGGGAGGCAAGTGAAAATTTTGTCAGGGCCCACCCCTGCCCCTTTCAGGTGCCGCACATTATCAAATTCCATTCGATGCACAAGGGCAATTAAGAAAAGGGTGAAAGGCCATAAAATTTTCTGTAGCGGCATACATTGGAAAGGCGAGGAGAAAACTTGCAGTGAAAGTCCACGGGTGCAATTCTATGGTAAATGCAGGAGGGCTAAATTGTCTTGAACAAAGATTTGTCAAGGCAGAGAATGTAACAACATGGCTAGAACAAAAACAACGAAGGAACAAAGACCACCACAGAAGTGCTGAAGAGTAAAGCAAATAAATACAGAGCAACTCTGGGTTTCAGACCCAATAAGTGGAAAGAAAATGTGGCTATGGGTAGCTTACTTGTGGACGGGGAATAAGAGCAGTGAAAAGCATTGGGAGGTAGTGAATTGAGCGAGTACGGATATTAGGCAAATTGGTAATTAAGCTGAAATCCTGCTAGGGGAGATGAATGCCCCCACACACGACCTTGGCAGATACTCAAAACACAATGGGAAGTTATCCCTAGATCTCTGCGAGCAACATAGTCTTGAGATGGTAAACACGTGCTATTTTAACTATCTGTGATGTGATGCGTAGATTACATGGGCAAGTCTGAAATAAGCAATCAAACATTGATTATCGTTCCATGACTGATGGAATTTGTCACAAACTGAGAGAAATGAGAATAGAAGAAGAGATAGTGATTGATTGATATGTGGGGTTTAACATTCCAAAACCACCATATGATTATGAGAGACGCCGTAGTGGAGAGCTCCGGAAATTTCAACCACCTGGGGTTCTTTAACGTGCACCCAAATCTGAGCACACGGGCCTACAACATTTCCGCTTCCATCGGAAATGCAGCCGCCGCAGCCGAATTCGATCCCGCGACCTGCGGGTTAGCAGCCGAGTACCTTAGCCACTAGACCACCGCGGCGGGGCAAGTTTGGGTAGCGATCATCATTACAAATGGGATATAAAATTGGAAAATAAAAGTGCAGAATCAGTTTGGCAGCTCGTATTTAAATGACAAATAGCAAGCATAGTCGTAAAAGTCGAGAAAAAATCATTGAAAAATACCATGCTAGGACTTGGGGTATAGCGAGCTGTTACGCGTAAAGACAAATCAGACAGGGAAAAGAAGAAAACAGTTTGCTGGAAAGGAAAGTCAAAAAGCAGGTGGAACAAAGAATTTAAGGAAGCACTGTAAAGCATCGTGTGAGCGTAGACGGGCAAGAAAGGAGAAGTGGCCTCGGGACGAAGTGAACAAAGTATGTATAGAAAAAAAAGAAATCCATTGTACACAAATTGTTCGAGACAAAAATTAAAAGTGAAAATGATGGATTCACACAAAACAAAAAAAGTCTGCTCCTAGGGTATCTTGAGGCCACTTACGAACACTAGGTAGGAAGTCTCACAATGAAACAACATATTATACATGATGAAGGAGGAAATCAATTGGAAGGGTACAAAATGCCAGGTTACATCTGAAAGGTAAGAGCCAAGTCATTTCAAAAGATCGTCCAGGGGATTTTTTCTGTGATTAAAAGTAGGAAGGAAAGCAAAACTTTGAGTGGGGTTCTTGTCAGCCTAATTAATGAATTAGAACATAGCGCTAAAGGAAGCACTGTAGACAGCCATAAAAAATTCTCACTCGACAAGTATGTACCAGACATCTGGCAAGAAAGTTAAAAAAACTTTATAAAAGGCATGGGAGAAAAGGGATAGCATAAACCTTTAAAGCACAATTGCCTAGGGTGCCTTGTTAATGTTTGTCGGCCTCACTAAGCTATGGACCACTTTAGAATCTGAGCAACCTGAAGAATACTATAAATCCTTACTTTTGCATGTAAACACCTTCCTTCAAACTTACCAGCGTCAACTTTACATACATAGAAACAAATTTTTAGGAAAGCCATCAATGAAATACCTGATTTATCAGTGAAAATTGTTTTCTTATTATATTGAAATAATAAAACTGTCAACATTTTTTATGATGTGAATGATAACTTGATTTTTTGTAGTGGCGAGGGTTTTGAACCTGTAGTTCCTCGGTGAGTGGAAATTTTAAATCAAGAGGAGGAGAATTGAACTGTACTAGAGAGCTGCATCACAGTAATGGGATACAATTTACAGAAATTTCTCAATCTTATCAGAAGAACGACATCTGTTGGCAGTATTATCCCAGGTCTTTAAAACTGCTGTCATACTTCTAGTCCAATAATTATTGTCGTAAAAATAGCATAGCCATGCCATAAGTCCTTTCTAACAAAGTCCTGTGAACACAAAAAAAGAGTACCAGCTTTAATGTACAGGTTATGCGTCTTTCAAAATGTAGGTTGTCCTAGTGTCATGGTGGCCACTGTCACTGAATGTTTAAAGACGTTCATTTTGTTAAGTGCGGGCTTGGTTGCAGAAAGCAATGGAGAAAAAATGTGTCGTAGGTATTCTTTACATTCCTAGCTTATCTCACAGACTAAATAAACTAAGAAGTAGATAAGGTGTTAATGTTGCTTTTACAGCTGCCAATAAACTTGGTAAGATTTGTGCTGCAGTGCAGAGAAAGATTGAGCAAGTAATTGACAAGGAGCGAACAGACATGTTTTGTAAAACACACTGACAAATTCACTTACGACTGCACTGGTGTGGTGCTTGAGGTTCTTTTAGCTGCGGCCGCTTCTATCTTAGACAGATGAGCTGCTGTGATAACCAGAGATTATTGAAGAATAAGAGATCATCAATCAGAGTCTTGCCTTTCTGTCAACTTTCTTTAAGAGTGCAAGTGCGCACCAAAATTTTATGAATGTGCAGTTTTGTACAGGCACAGGATTGAAAAACGGCATCTAAT